CAATCCCATCCTGTTTGCTTTCACTGCGGTATACAAGGTCACATTTCTCGTTACTGCCGTCGCCGCCAGCAAGAGGAACCATGAGGCTATGCTGAATTCGAACAAGACTGGTTCCAAAGACCAGATCTTCATGCTCCACTCGCCTACCTGTTCACGCAGAAGGGGTCTCAGTCTCCTCCAGTGTCCCCTCATCAACTTCAAGAATACCGCTCCTCCAGATGACGCTCTCCATTGCCCTACCGCCGCTACGCATCGCCGCTTCGTCCTATCGTCTCCCGTCCTGTTGTACAATCTTCAGAAAACTAAGGATTGCAGTTTTTGGAGGAAAAACTGCGTCTCGTCGACTGACAAAAATACCTCCAGTTCACCCAGCCAGTATGTTTTCAGCGACTCTTGAAGGTATTCCTGTACAAGCTCTTGACACCGGTGCAACCATGTCTGTTTTGCATATTGACTTGTGCTCGCGGCTCCGTAAAGTCAGAACGCCCTATGTGGAATCTGTGTTGTGCGGGGCCCTGGCGGCCCTATATGGGACCTCCACCACTCATATATATATACTTATATATGCATGCATATTGAAAAACAACGGACAAATGTGCGAAAACCATTATTGTTGCAGGCCACCCATGTACTGCGGCAAAAGAGGCTTAAGCAGTGTTTCTGCACGGGTTAGAACAAGACCAAAAAATTTTCAGCAGAGTGACTTGTCGGGCGAGTTGATTCATTCCTATGGTAGCTTTTGGCACGAAATAAACACGAGAGACGGAAAGCGCAAACTATCAACTGAATTAATTCAAAAGACACACACATATATATAAACGACAACAAAGTCGCAAGTCATATTAGCAGAAAAAGTCTATTAGTGGCAAGCGCTCAAATAATCCATCTTAGTGGAATGCAACATGATAGAGAGCCTCACTACGCATGTCCTGCCCAATTTGTTAATAAAATAAAAATGCTTCCTCAATTTCTCGTGCAACTTTTCCTTCTAATCTTATTAACAGATTGGGCGAGACATGCGTAGCGAGGCCCTCTATTACGTTGCATGCCACTGAGATACATTATTTGAGCGCTTTCCACTAATAAAACTTATTTTCTGCTAATATCACTTGCGACTTCGTTGTAGTGTATATATATGTGGGCGCCTTTCGAATAAATTCAGTTGATAATTTGCGCTTGTCCGTCTCTCGTGTTTATTTTGTGCTAAAAGCTACCGTAAGAAATTTTCGAACCACTACCCTCTTCCTTTTTACCTTATTTTAACGAAGGGGTTAGGTTTAGGGCACAACTTTTGGGCTTGCTTGCAAGGCACGTTTGATCAGATATAGTAACAACCGCATGTGCCCGTTGGCCGGGCGACAGCACTGGATATCTATCGCATGAGGTGTTGTTGCTCTCGCAACTAACGTGGTCGTGGTATGAACTAATGCTGGAAGCGTACAAATTCAAGGTACAGTAGATATCTGTTACGGTCAGCGAACCGACGAGCGTGGCGCTGTTGCTTCATCTGGTCGGTCACGTTTCGCGAGTGTTTTGGCCTGATGAGCAACTATCTTACAATGTTGTTTAGGGTTAGGGGCTGCCCGCTTGGATTGATTGATGACACTAACTACAGGTGGCCAAAGTGGCCTTAATTTCTAGCTCAAATAAGGGCAACTGCGAAAATTTTGAGGCTGGTCAAGCATTTTGGCGCAGCCTGGAGCAATTTTGACAAATTTCATGGTTTTGGCGCAGCTCAGCGCACAATCGAGTAATCCTATCGAATTTGCACAACTCGTGCAGCTGTTGCACTCCTGGTTGTGCTCATTTTGCGCAAGAAGAAAAAATACTCTTGACGTTGGTCCTCGAACATGACTTGAACAATCGTCGAAGGTGGTAGTACTTCCAGCAAAGTGATCTCCAGCAGCAATAAGCAGCACAATGATGTTAAATGACCGTTAGCTGTCCACTCAGGAAGCCTACATGAATGTGCACACTGCGTTTCAAGCCATTTGAAGGAACACAAAGTGAGTGACGCACCTTTTAGAATTGTACACGGCACCTAAAGGGGATATACCACCTTTTCAGTAGGGATAAGCAATATCTTATGCATCATATATAGGGGCACATTGGACTTTTTGTATTACTTGATTCAGCTTGGAATGCTACATGCACATTTTTACATGCTTCCGGGGGGCCAACTAGTGCTTGTAACATTCACACGGTCTGCAGTCGACCTTTTCACTGAAGACACCCTGGGCGCCGCCATAGTCCTTTCTGGGCTGTTGTTAACAGGCGTGACCCTCAAAAATGCAGGGCCGAAGCTATGACGCCAGCTTTTGTATTCCCGTGCAACAGTCCAAAAAGGAGAGTATCCTCCTCTCCGTAAAAAAAAGGGGGGGTAAATAGGTAATGCACGAAAGTAAACGAACACAGTGGTTCGGAGGAAGATAGCGATTGAGTAGGAGGGCATGGAAGCACGCTCGAGAACTTGTTTCGACAAATGTAGTGACGCCAGGCCACTTTCAGTTACGTGGCATCGCGTTCCACGTTGAACTAGATTACAATTATGCGTGAAGTCTGGAGAAAATGAGCACACATTTGTGGAACAACCTATATGGTAGCAAAACAAAGCAGCAGCCTCAGCACAATTGGCGAGCATTAAGTGCCTCTTCATTCTGCACTGCACTGACCAGCTTGTGTCTGCGAATGTAGTTTCCCATGAATAATTTTGTGACGATACACACATTCTGTGGCTGTATGCAACTCTCCACCAACTAAACAACCAGCAGCTGCTTTATTTCACGTAGTGCGACACAGCCTGCGCCCTTGGTAGAAAGGCTTCAAGGGAATAGGCTGGCGAACTCACTTATGAGTCGACTCCCTCAAACTCAGATCGAGCTGCGAGTCTGAGTGAGTCCAGGTGAGTAATATGAGTAATACTTCGGCAAGTTTGAGTACGAGTGAGTCCGATTGTAGAAAATTTGTCTGAGTGTAAGCCCGAGTGAGCGCGGCTGAGGAAAACTTTGGTGAGTGTGAGCGAGTCCGAAGCGCAAGATATACTTCTTGAGTGAGTCATAGTGAGTCCCACTTTTTTTTGCCAACCTAAGGTCATGGGCATTTTACAAAAAGAAAAGGGGCAGAAATGCACGATCTATGCCATAGACGATGTTTTGTCACTTACGAAAATAAATCACTACAAGTTGTAATGTAGTGAAGGAACTCTGTCATCTCTAGGCAATTGGAGGAGTTTATAAACTTGAATAATTTCGACCACGAGAATACAATGCTAGCATTTACTTCATTTACTTTTGAGTATTAAGGACGTGAAACAAATCGTTCACTGGTGTCAAAAGTTCTGTAAAAAAGCTTTTGCAGTTTTGTCAGGAAAGACACATGTTGATTGGCTGAAGGGTGGAGCGGGTGGCTGAAATTAAGAAACACTCATGATATACTAACAAGTATAAGCTTAAATTGACAGGAATACTACAACACATATGATTCAACCAAGACATTGTACAGCTGATTGGTGAATGGTTCTCAGGAACATTGCACTGAAACATTAAAACGTATAGTGCATGGGAGTGAGTGAATAAACTTTATTAGAAGATCCAGCATGTTTGTGGTCCAGGCAAGACCGCGCAGGTAGGTAGGTGTCAGGAGACCTTGTCTCCGTATAACCTCCCTAGTCTGCTGGATGGCCCATTTTTTAGTCTTGAAAACACGGAGGTTAGCAGCACTAGCCGCCACCGCTACCGGAGGGCTTCCAGAAGAACTTGATAAGTTCGGACAATCCCAGAATATATGTTTACAAGAAGCTCTTTCTGTTGTATATAGTTTGCACTTAGTGTCCGGGTATAGGTGTGGGTAACTTATATGAAGGTTCACAGGATTCGGGTAGGAGTTTGTTAATAGCTAACAGTATTCAGATGCTTGTTGCCAGTCTAGTCTCGGGTGAGGTGCGGGGAAGACGCACCTTGCCTATCTGTAGTGTTGTGTGTCTTCTGTGTAGCATGTAAATTGGTCTCTGTGTGGTACGTCAGTGGCGCCAGGAATGTTGACTGTGGGGTCTGTTTGGATTGCGCGGCAGGTTAATTCTCGCGACAACTCACGGGCCATCTAGTTTGGATTGGACGCACCAGTCTTTGTGTGCACCGGGAACCAGATTAGGTATTTGGGTTCATCTACTTTGTTTAGTTCTTGGCTATTAACGAAGATTCTGAGGGCTTGTGAAATCTGTCCTTGCATTAAATTTTGGATAGATACTTGCAAGTCACTCCGTAAAAATGTGTGCTTGTTGGAGGTGATAGCTATAGCTATTGCTATCTCCTCAGCCTCCTCTATCTTGTTTGTTGTGACAGTGCAAGCGTTAATACATATGCCTGTCGGGCGAATTGCGAAAGCAGTGTGGGCCTTGAATTCAGCGTATGGGCTAGCATCTACGAAAAAAGATTTGTCGTTCGTGTCCTGAGCTTTCCGCATTGCACAGGAGTTTTTCATTTGCACGTGTTAAGTTCAAGCTTTCATTTTTTCCCACTTCTTAGGATGCTTCTTAGAATGTCAATCAACCGTATTGAAGCGGTGCAAGCTTGCCTACAGGTTACCAGACATCCTATCACTAAGCATTTTACATTAGCATATTTCACTGTGTAGAAGGTGACAATACTTTTGCTGAGCATCTGGTTTGCACACCGGAGCACGGCGGGAGAAAAAGGCCGACAAAAGCCTCCGAGCCTGCATGACAGGCAGGTGTTGGCAGGGCTCGCACTAGCCACGCGAGAGCCCTGCATCGTCTGTTGATCCTCCTCGAGCCATTTTTCTCTCAATCCACTGTGCGGCATGACAGTCTACGTACAGTGCGAATTACAGCCAAAGATAATTCTGCTGAAGGCACAAACATGTCTGAGAAGTCATTTTCTAGGAGCCACACAAATTGTTTGCTCGGATTGGAAACAATCAATTGATTGCTAATCTCGCAGCTTTGAGATATTTTTAAACAGTGACAGAACATTGCTGATGTAACATTGAAATTATTATTTTATTGAACTCTAATCATGATTACTTCCATATCTACGCGCAAGTCAATGTACTAGCACCCACTCTAGTACATAAAGAACATTGAGGGCCTTGGAATAACGTTGGGCATTTTTTTCTCCCTTCGCTTGACTCTGTGGTCGGGTGATCGATGTTCCCTGGCGCTGTCGTCAGAACACTATGCTTCGGCATTTAGTTGCACAACCATTACAGAATTCGCACATTTGTACACGCTTCTAGTTGCCAGTTTAGAACGATTCTGGATATTACGCAGGCGGTAACAAATATTTGTATGATGCAAGCTTTCAAATAATGTCTTTCGAGAGAGTCGATTCTTTTTTACTACTTACACCAGCCACCATGCACTGATTTGACCCAACCCTTTGACAGTACTGCCATCTGGTGCAGTCGCGACTTGCAAAGTGGGAGCATGAGGCTTCACGAGTTCAAAGATTGCAAATGGGTTCCACTAGCCCTTATTTCTATTACTAAACGCGTTTCTTTCACTTGTGTGCGATCCAAAATAAGAAAATATTTAGTTGCTGAAATAAAAGCAAGTTAAAGACATGCACAACCTTTTGAATTCTTGGAACGTGCTCCCGCATTGCAAGTCATATTGAACACACATGTACACCGAGAAATCACACAGAACTGCATTATTGTAATTCGCTAATCTGAAGAGAATATCGACGCAAGATGGCAGTGCAGGGTAATGAATACACTAACACACAGGGATACGGGAGCACTTGTCTGCAGGTGCTCGATCGGCACGCACTGTTACCAAATATAGAACACGTGCAGAGGGGCTTTTCAAAAACAATGCCATCACCGTGGGATCCCCTACACTGAACTTCAGAAGCAAAACATGGTCACACTCCTTTTGTCACCTTTCTCATGAAACAAAAAATTCAATTCTCAGTGATGCCACTGAGGTCTTCTGATCTGGAGCAATTTTTGGAGCAGCGAAATTTTCACTTTGGTGCACTTTTCAGCAGCAAAATTTTCCAATTTGGAGCACTTCGAAGAAGCAAAAGAGCGATCTGGAGCAGCTAACTTCAAGTTCTAGAGGAAAAGCAAGTTGAATGTACATACAAGGGCACGTATAATTATTTTGGGGCTCTTGTCTCCTGTGAAGAGCTAGATATATTTACATTCCTTTCAAATCTCATGAAGCCAGTCATCTTAGGAGCACTCCCTATTTTAGTTGATAATGGAAAAATATTGGCATCATTATGCTGGCCATTCTAAAAGTGATTGCTGATGATTGCTGAGTGATTATTTCTGCAGCAAATAAACAAAGTACTGTTTGAGTAAGATTGCACTTCATGAACCAGCATTCTATATACCTACAAGGTATCTGTTTATATGGTAGACAAACACTGTGATAAACAACGCTAGAGACACTGTCGCAAATGCATTTTCCCTTAGACGGCTCCAAGGATATAGAAATATTCTTTTTCTGTACAACAGATTATACTGCTGGGCTTAACATGACGTCATTCAGCTATTCTGATAAAGCCAACCTCCTCCAGCACTCATCCCTCTGTGCTGACACCACAAGATTTAACAGACTTCGTTTTCCTTTTGCAGCGATGTTTTATGTGGCTAGGGCACTGTCTGTATTCCAAAGTCCCCCTGTAGTGCTCTAGAATGCAGTGCATAAAGAAGAAAAAACCTCACAGGGTACCTTAAGCCCACGCCTAAGACAACTAGAAGGCGAGAGCCATTTTGTTTCTAATGCGACAACAATTACAAGCACATTCTCGACCAGTCTTTGCCATCGCCAGGGGCGTAGGTAAAATTTGTGGGGGGCAGTGCATTTTGATATGAAGGGGAGGGCATGCAAATGGTGATAATAAGCTATATTTATGCCATGGCAAAAAATATTTCGGGAGGTGTAGGGGCGGGGCACATGTGGAACTGGAAAAGCGAAGCAATGAATGCGATAGCAAGAACTTGGTGTTTCAGAAGGACCAGAGAGACCGCAGAACCGATACGTCTTCGGTTTATTGTTGACAGAACAGGAAAAAAAATATGCAGAGCGTGACCCTGGCTACTTCTTCTTCCTCGCCTCCGAGCTCCATCTTCAATCTGTTTTCTACATCTTCCCGCCGGCCAGATTCAACCGAAGCAACCTTTGAGCGAATACAACAGTTGAATCAGCCTCTTGACTAATTTTCCTTCAGGTGTACGAAGCAAGCATGTTCTCACTAGTCCATCCTTGCCTGGGAAAATCTTTTCGACTTTGCAGAGTTTCCACTGAGTTCTTTTTCGCGCTTCTCCAAGCAGAAGTACATCTCCTTCTTGTACATTTGTGTGACGCTCTGTTTTTCTGCTGTCACACTTAAGCTCCTTCAGGTACTCCTTTTTCCATCTGGTCCGCCATGTTATCATTGCCCGTTTTCTTGCACTCCAGTAATTCAGCAAACTGTATTCTCCGAGTCTGTTTTCTTCCTGCTTGTTCATTGCTTGCTTGCGAATGGGGTTGAAGTCTCTGCGTCTGTCTTCAGATCCTCCTGGTCACGGCACCATGTTTCAGAAGGACCAGAGAGAACGCAGAACCGATACGTCTTTGGTTTATTGTTGACCGAACAGGAAAAAAAATATGCAGAGCGTGACCCTGGCTACTACTTCTTCCTCGTCTCCGAGCTCCATCTTCAATCTGTTTTCTACACTTGGAATGTAACGCTGGGATTGGCAAGCAGATCGAAATGTGCAGCATGCTGCTCAGGCACAGATCACGCACGAAAACAATATACAACGCTTACCGCTCAACACTTAATGCATTGTTTACACAAAAACGATGCACGAAATGTAATCACAAGTACAGATGAGTGCAAACTTACAAGTGTCCCAGATGTTATACTTCGTTGTGTATGAAAAGCCCGCTATTTTCGCAAACCCGGCCTGTGCAGCCAGCGAAGTGATCTTTGTGTTGGGCCCGGCAATCAACGCAATTGTTCCGGTGAAAGGTGAAGACATACGACTTTCCCCACCGAAAGATAAGCACGCGCACACAAGCATCGAACTCCCCCCCCCCCCCCCATTCGCGGGGCAAGGTAGGTGTGATGAATAAGTGCTCGACGACGTTGGCGCATCGCGACGAGCTGGGCACCGAGTGCAGGCTTTTTTTCTTTCTTGATTTTTCATACAGATACGTATACATATATGGTGAAAGACGGCGGTGGCAGCGAAGGTAAAACAAGAGAAAGAAAACTGCGGAGACTGTCCATATAATTTCTACCGCAATAAAAGAGCCGACCTACCTCCTTTGTACGGAGGGCAGATGCGACAGCATCACCCTGTGTGCCAGGCCTGCCATTGATTGTTACAAAAACAGAGAAGAACGGGCCACCCATCTTTAAAAAAAAAGGAAGGAACTGGAGCGCAGGGGAGAGGGGGCATTGCAATAAACTTTGGTGTGATGACTGGCACTCGCGCTAACTCGCAGGCATTAAAGACGGCTGTTATACCCTTCTGTCTTGTACTCTCAATGCAAACAGACTGTTGGTATCGCATTAACTGTTAACAGCCTAAGTGAAACTAACAAACATGTAGTATCTTTTGGACACAACATCGCATAACTCAGATGAGAGCTGGCTGAAGGGACTATGATCACTCCAATTGCCGAAGCGGTTTTTGTCCAGCCAGTCATCTAAACCCAAAGCAGAGGTTATAGTAGCACAGAAAGTTTAAAAGCATGTCTCATTAGGCCTCGAGATAGCGTTCTCGAGAATACGCCTCCTCCTCCTCCTCCCACTCAAAAAATGAAAAGCATAGCAATGAATGTGATGATGTGATATTTAATTTTTTTTAAGTGTCAGCTATTTACCTTGGAAAGCAAGAGGCGAACTTGTAACAAGGCGTAGCCGCTTCTCCGTGGGCCTTCCGACCGTAGAGCCGCCACCGATAGCCACCCTATTGAAAGCCGCGCATATTAAAACTGAATTCCGACTGCTCTGACAGGGAAGCATGCTTTTAAATATGAGATGACATTAAAAAAAACATGCGAAAATTTTGAATACGGACCCTAGCAATCACGAGTTCGAAATGACAGGTTGTTTTAGGAGCTTTTACCGCAACAGCGATTACAAATGCGGATGTGCTGATGAGAGGAATTACGAAAATGAACTTCTGAATGAAGATCCATGCATAAAGTATATTAAAAGAAAATTGGCAACGCGTTTACACAGTGCACGTGTTGTTCTAAGGGCGTGAAGCGCAGAAAATCAAACTGCAATATCAAGAAATCCACCGATGAATCACTGCTGCAGTTTCCCCACACTGATTGGACTAGACGTCACGAGCCCCTGCGGAGAGCGCGTGTCACCGTTAAGCATACTTGCGCAACAGCAGTTGCGTCGGCATCAAACATAGCATCGTGGACTACTTAGGACGCATGCGCGACCGCTGTTAATTTAGCGGAATAATTCTAGGCACGCGATTGTGACTTTGGTGGCCTAGAGAACAAAATGCACATGCTTTGATGCGCCAGTGTGGTTATGGCCGGTGATAAACGCTCCCAAATTCGACTTTGGGACAGTTTGGCACAATTTTCGTGGATATAATCAGGATGGCGGAGTAAATCTGATTTGGCGCACTTGGCGTAGGAATGATATCACTGCAAATGCAAACATTATTTAAATGTTACCGAGTTGCTAAGCCAAAACAACAATTTCAACCTGTGCCATGCCCTATTTAAGAACTATGGGCGATTTTTGATCATGTGGGAAATGTGCCCTTAACGCAGAGTTCTTTTGCATCGCATGCTTCTTGACGAAACGTGGCTGATGTGGACAGTATAGAGGATAGATACCATCACTGGATATAACCTAATCAAAGGAATGTTAGAGTGAAACGATCAATTAGGTCTTATACTCCAAGACTCCATTGTCCCTAATAACACCATCATAGCTTGAAGAATTGAAAATAAAATCAAGTTTAACGTCCGATTCATAAACGTCGCGCACAAAGATTTTTGCATAACACCATCAATTTCAAAGTGCATTTTTGTGTATTCACGGCACTGGCCCAGTGAGGTTTTCTCAAACTTGGTATGTTGTCCCTGGCCTTCTTAGAAGACAATGTACTTAACTTTCACTCAGTTAAAATGACACAAATCTTATCAGATTCTGTAAAAATCTACGACGTCATGACAAACAGTGCACGAGCATCAAGATGGCATCACTCGCATTTTCTTTTGTCACCTTGTCTTGCTTATTAAGAGTCTTCTCGTGGTCGGTGTAGTGACTTTCGCATCGTAAAAGACTAATTTACAAATATGAGAAAAATCAGTTTTCCCTTTTGTGTCTCTTTATGCTACCGTGGCAAGTGCAATGAACAAAGTTAAATGCAATGTTGGAAAATAAAAAACATAAAACTAAATGGCATGAAATTACCACACATACATACCTTGTCATAAAGCGCAGGATCATCATCTTTTTTCAGGCTTTCCCAGCCATAAAAGCAGCAAAACATGACCTGTGGAGGGATGAGGGCAAGCTCCTCAGTAAGGCATACAAAGCCTGACTGATGTGTTGCTCCCTCACAGTTGCCATATAGTCCAGACATACCAAGAACATGCATGTTATGGAGCAAGAAAAATATATATAGTTTTGAAGCAGAAAAAAAAAAGGCCTCTGTGCAGCTAGAAGTGTATTTTAAAGCACAGAAAAGTGCTTTCGGAGCAGCCGAGAGTGCATTTTGGAGCAGGAAAAAAATGCAATTCAAAGTAACCAAAAGCATTTTGCAAGCAGGAGAAAAGGCTTTCGAAGCCATTAAAGGCTCATTGCCGAGTGGGAGATTTGAATTTGTGAGAACTAAGACAGCCAAATAAATCTGAATTAAACAGCATTTCATGAAGTTACATGCTGTATAGCTTGTACTACTTATAGGTAGGGTTACTGACCATACGCGATTTTGCGGCGCTGTCTTCACTTTCCATTCAGTGTCCACGATCCACACCTACACTCTCGGGACTGCTATATGTTTTGGCTTTGTTTTAAAACCGTTCTGTTACAATATTTTTGTATGATCCAACGCCTGAAAAGTGCCTCTTTGAGCAGGATAGAAGAAACCAGAAGGGCCTTATGGAGCATGCTGGGAGCAGCCGTAAAGGCCTTTTCAAGCAAGTTTAGCGCAGCAAGACATTTGGAGCAGACATAGCCTCGTTGCAAAGCATTTGTAAAGCAACACTTGCCCAATGCTGCATTTTTGAAACACATCACTAAATTATGAAGTAGCCTTATTACTGTGCTACACATTATATGGACACTCTCGACGGGTTCTAGCCATTGCCGTCATGTCCCGTATAAAGTCCGAATTGCCAACATTTCCCCGAGCACCTTATAATCTTATACCCCACGGGTAGAAGCGTACGTACGAAGACGACAAATGCGGCTGAAGCAGAGATCAAACCAGCCGGCCCATCGCCGTCCCTCAAAGGGCGCACGCGATAACATACAGAGTCAACAGGCCTGCCATCGAAGCAGAGAGGAAGTGCTCCACCTGTTTTGAAAGACCATGAAAAGAAGCGAGAGCAGGGAGGAAGGCGGTGTCGCACAAGCGGCATTTATAAACATTGCTGCTAAGGGCCAGTCAGGATCGCTAGTGCGCACGCTACCTTGGCAGCAATCACCGAGCGGTTTAATTGAAAGTGAACTTGATGAAGTGTTATCAAAATAAAACATTTGATGACCTTTCAGCTTCTCTTTTTAAAGAGTTGAAAGTGATAGCGATATCCCCACACATTCGCATACAAACAAACACACTATCCCCTTCTAAATTTTTAGACTGCCTTCATTTCTCATTCGAGGCCAAAACTGTGCCGCAAGAGAAGCCTAAGTGTAAGCGCCCTCCGGTAGTTATCTTTAATTTCATCAACTTTGAATTTTTCCTTGCGGCCAAAGACGCTGCTGCCGCCTCTGCAATTTGTGTGAAATGAGCTCTTTAACTATATTACATTAAAATTACTTCATGTGTCATATCTTCATCAGGGGTGTATGCAGAATTGTTTTATTGGGGGGGGGGGGGGGGGAGGCACCACCTTGATGTACAGTCGGTCCTGGGCTGGTAGATATGGTCGACTATCATTTTTGTGCTCTGCATGCCATGGCAAAAAAAAATAAAAAATTGGCGAGCAAAGCTTGGCACGGGCCTGGTGTGCCGCACCCTAGAAATGCCATCCTGACCTCCGCTGCCCCTGGCTATGCCACAGCATCAAAAAACTTTCTGACTACACTCAAAAGCATGTCCTTCATTAATACTATTTTCTTAATTCAAATAAATTGCATACTTTGTACAATTTTTTATTCTTCTGCAAAAAAGGATGGCAAAAAAAGCATGTGTGAATTTCACTTTAAGTTAAAAGTGAACCACAATTGTCCGGAAAATTACTCATGAGGTTAAATTGATTGCAATTCGTAAAATAAAAAACACAAAACTAAATAGCATAAAATTATCACACATACACACCTTGTCATAAAATGCACGATGGTTGTCTCTTTTCAGGCTTTGCAAGCCATGAAAGCCGCAAAAGAATGACCAGAGAGATGAGGGCAAGCTCCTCAGTAAGGCACACCAAGCTTGACTAATGTGTTGCTTTCTCAGAGTTGCCACATAGTCCAGGTATTGGACATGGCTCTGCAAACACAGATTACAGATATTAATTAACAGGAAGCCCTTACACACACTTCACATAGCAGTGAACGTATGATTAAAAAAGTGGCTGCCATATCAACTTTATAACAAAAGGAAAGAAAAGCCAAGCCTTCATGTAGCAAATTTATGAAACACAGGATCCAATAGTTGACTTTTTATTCACACAACAAAGGATTGTTCAAAGCATCATCATCATCATCATCAGCCTGGTCCATGTTGACTATAAACAAATTCCACTGGACTTGCGTCGCGAAAATGCGGTGTCGCTTTCTTGGTAGGCAAAAGACGCTCTGCCTACTGCAGTTTCTTTTGGGTTTTCAATGGTGCATGTGGAAAAAGGCAAAAGACGCTCAGTCAAGCGACGAGAAAAAAAAAAACGGTATGCCGACGAGCTGCATCGCGGTTGGAAGTAAGTCGCGTCTCACAACTTAGTCTTGTTTGTTGGCGCACATCGCAGCCCTCGGCGCTTATGGCAGAAGTTACGTGCGGACGTCGCTATAATTTTACCCTTAATGTCGACATCGGCCTACCTTTATTAACAAGCCTGGAATGGGTTTATAGGTTGAAAGACTCTCCCAATTTTGTATAATCATGTACAATCATATACTTATCTTGTATGAATCAGTTGGATTTTGGGCAGTGGCATAGCCAGTTTAGAATCTTGCATCCTAAATTGGTTAAAACATTTTTTTTTTTTTAAATAATGCTGTTTTGGAGCAGTTTTGAAGAAGCTTGGTTTCACTTGCAGCAGTACCCCAATGAGCTTGAGTACCTATAAAGTGCACATTCGTATTACTGCCCGAATAGGAAATGCTGATACACTTTAAAGGAGCCACGACATAAAATTTACTAATTGCAACATTTTTGCATCCATGAGTAATTATCGACCCCACTAGTAGCGATGTGCGACCTAAAAACGCAACTGAGGTACACATAACCATCCATTTTATTGATTTATACATACCATTGGTATTTAGCACGATTCAAAACGGCAGGCCAGCCCACGTATAGCTCTGGCCGCGATTTCTCGCGGCCACCTCCAAATTGCACCTAATCTAACCACTTCTCCACACTGAGGATTGATGTGAAGCTAAGCCGCTCAGCTAACATTTGGTTTGTTAGACATAGTCATGCCTTGACACCAGCACTGCCATATCACCTTTGTAAGAACTGTCCACTAGTGTTAAATACAATAGTTTGGACCGTCCGACCGACCAACCAACCGAACTGATTGTTCTGCTTGCTGTTGTTAAAGCCGTTAGAAAATGCAAATATTGCCCTAATACTCACGATGTTAGGTTCCAAGCTGTCTATCGATCAAGTTGGTGCGTGCTAACGTACGTTTCTACCAGTAAAAAAGTGCTCAAAAGGAGCACCAGGGCCATTGGTGAATTTTCTTGTCGTATTTCTTCAGTGGAGGACACGCCCACCACTTCGAGCGCCACATGCGGTGGTTGAAAGCCTTGTCTGGAAACACGTCACTGTTCGAGAGCACAATGATGGGCGTCCTAGAACTGGTCTTGTGAGCAGAGTACTTTACCACCACTGAGTCTGCATCACCACCAAAAAATTTTAACCATATCAAAAGCAGATAACTCACAGTTTGGATTGTTCCATAGGGAGATCAGACGGATCATGGTGTCCTATAGTGAAAAGCTAGTGTAGCGGTTATAACGAACGGTACTGCAGTTAATGTAAAAGGAGAGAACAGAATAAAAAAAAAGTTTTCGCCTGCACTCAGAGGGGACACAATCACCATGAAGTTTGTCATGGGGCCCGCCTTATTGGCCAGGCTAAGTAAGTTGTTTACAAAGGCCAATACTTCCTTGTTGATGCCCTGAAACTGAAAATTCAATAGCTTCGTCATGGCATCAAACGAGGCGGGCACATTCATCTAAAAGGTAGAAAGGCAGCCATGTGAGACATTGTAGAGTGGCTGCAGGTTTTTGTACATTTCAATGAAGTCAAGGATTGAATATGAGCACATTTCATTATTAAACACTTGGACGGCTCGTTGAAGATGCTTGTTGTCCAGGTGAATCAGCCGAAACACTAGGTCCACCTCCCAGTAGAGGGTGGGCACAATGTTGCTCAACAACGATACAAGGTATTCCCATAGCCACTCGCAGATGAATTTTTCAGACGCTCGTTTTGAACATTTTCGGCACTTTATACCCTTTCTTGCACATACTTTATCCGGTCTACCATGCACTAGCATTTGTAGACTGAATTGACGAGCGATTTGGTCGTCTGATGAAGCCAGCGAAGATAACACATCGGCATGTGCCGTTGCTCCAGCTGCAGTCATGTAGGATATGAACGTGTGGGAGAGTAGTTCCTCATGTGTGGAGTGAGATAGCAGCGATTTCGTACTGTGTGGGCCCTCGCTCGGATCATCTGACAATGTCGTGACTAATTGTCCGAGCTTCTCCATCATCTCGAGCGGGAAACACATCATGCACAAGCTTTCCTCGTTTTGGAACTGACTGTAACTGCAGTGCCCAGCATGGAGGGGTTTGTAAATTTTTTTTATCTCCTCCAGTCCCTCTTCCTGGCTCAGAAACATTTGAATTTGATACTTCTCCCATGCCTTTGATCAAGTTCCATAAGTGTCCAAATGGTTTATTTATGTCATAGACACCATTCTTGTAGCTCGAACTAATAAACTCTGTAGTTTGTCTCTGGGAATATAAATGGCGTCACCAAAAAGTTGAGGACTCGCCACTGTAGTGACATGTACGCGTACGCTATGCCGTTCAATGTTTCTTCTGTGCGGTCCACATATTAAAAGGAATGCACAAAACTGCCATCCCACGCCATTTGCTTAAAAAAGCCTTAAATAGATCGTGAAAAATTCACAAAAAATTTTAAAGAAACCGACAACTGCCCAGGGCATGAAATGAGCTGATTGCGTGGATGGAAAGATTGTCCCTCGGAGTGACTGAAACTAACACTTCTTTTCTCGAGAAAAGTCGAGTTCCGTTTGTGTATTTTTTTATTGAAAACTAAAAAATGACCTGTAATGCCACCTGGTGGCAGAAATTTCAAATATTTGATGTACCTTGTCACATGACCGCAGATTAGTGTTCCCAGTGAGCAATTTTTTGTTAATACTGAAATATTGTTTGCTTCTTTATAGTAAAAAGCATTACTTCATAAAAATTTATGCATAGGCCTCCATTGGTAGTACACATTGAAGTGGTGCAGCCTTCGCATGACGTAATGATCCCATGCTGGTCAGCGCCATGAGCATCTGTTTTGCATGCTCATGAAAACATGAACGCAGTTTCCAGGTTGTTAAATTTTTGCAGAGACGTTTTGCTACCTCCACTTAGCCTCAGAAATGATGTGTACTACTGCTTGGCACGGCCGCACATATGCACAGTGACGTTTTCAATGACTTGGCTTGGCTCGTGCATCGAGAGAGTATCGACGACGAGACAAGCCATCCATCAATCTTAAGGGCAGGCACACAAAATGCAGTACAAATACAGGGAAGCTGTATAAAGCCACATCATCTCATTTTAACGACTTGTTATTAAAAAGTATAGTTGTAGTGCTCAGAATAGTCGTGGTTTAGCACAGTAACAGGAACTACAGCGAAAACACAATAACGAAAACTAGCACAAGTCACTTGAGAGGCTACAAGCATCGCTATCAATTTTCAGCATTGCTGGACAAAAATAGACATCCGTGTTCAGAGCCTTCTAGACAGAAAAATACTGCTTATAAAATAACTACGTGCATTCGGGATTAACTACTGCAGCTATGAACACTACGAAGGGTAAACTTTCTGTCACGCTGAAAAAACTGAATGGAAAAAAAATCGGTTGTCGGTCGGTCCTTTATGTGTAAAGTGTACGTAGCCACTGAAATTCCATCAGCAGTGGAGAGACTTTGAAGTTCACAAGCTAGCAAAGCTATGCTGGTGTGCAAGGTTCTTTCGCCTAAGCCTCATACTATCTTACTCTGGAAGAACATTTTTTGTGCTCTTGCCTCTGTTCAATGGCATCATTGTCTCCTTGGCTTCACTGCAATGTGGACAAGCCAAGCACAAAATCGAAGTGAAAGACTGTCGCAATCTAACGAAATGCCGTTTTTATCCCGGTTCTCAAGCCGTGTGAAATGTCAAGACAATTCCAACGCCATAGTTTGGCTTTTTTTTCTTTTGCCAACCTGAAAAAGGTTTCCTTGGATACATGACTTTTGCAGGCAACAACACGCTCTCCTATGCCCATCCAATAAATAACAACAATGGGTATAACAAAATAACAGACATAATGAAGTAACCGGCTCTCCCTTTAACTGTCCTTCAAATGCCTTATAGTGCAGCTTACCGTTAACAAGTATGAAAAGAGCACTTATACATCGATGTACCTTACTAATAAAGCAGGTGAAGCACATACTGTATTTACTGGCCAAATGAACCTTTTTCCATATTCCTCTACCTTATTCTTTGAAAAAAAAAAAAAAACCTTTCATAATGTATTTGTTCATTTCATGTCAGTATGATAGGCAATGTTGCTAATGATCAAAACAATGATAAATCAAGCCATTATATCACAAAATACCTATGCAATAAAAGTCAAAACAAAGTTTTGCAGCCATGCTAAACAGTTGCGAGCAGTACAGGCGTCGTCAATAAAAATTAGAAAGTCGCACCTTCTGGGGCAAAGTGTCATCTGTAGAAAGCAGGAGAAACCTATTTGCTGATAGCATCACGCAAGCACAGCTGCACAAAAACACAGCAAAAGACATAGCGCATAGCCTCCAAAATAGCGGGCGCGCAAAAAAGCCTACCGCGCCGAGGGCGCATCATGCACCCACATCTACCGCAACGTTTGTGCGCCACTATCCGACACTGCGTTTTTGCTGTGTTTGCTGGGTGGCTGTGACACTGCGTTTGTAACCAGCCACCCGGCTGGTTACGAACAGCATGCGCTGGAGCATGGGAACCAAGCGGCTGGACGACACTTCAGCATCTATCCGTGCACTTTCGTTATGGGAGGAAACAAAAAGAGCACGGGGCTACAACAAAGATTTGTCGCGCATTTCGCAGGCCAAAACAAGCAAAGCCATCAAGCGAAATTTTCATTGTTATAACTCCCGTGACTTTTTTTCTCTCATGTAACGAACCCTACCCCCCAATTAGCCTCAACATTTTTGAAAAGAAGTTGGGTTCATTATGCGAGTAAATACAGTAATTCCTGCATAGTATAATTATAATTGATCTTTAAATCGGATCCTCTTTTACACAATTCAGCTAAGACTTACCTTGCCATCATCAATCTTTTGCATAATTTTACATCGGTACCATTGGTACATTTTCAGAGAACATTGCAGCATACACCTAGAAAAAAATCACACATGAAAAAAACACACAATAGAGACAGCAATGCAGTGACAAAGCGACCAACACTAATTGCCATATATACATTGGCACACATCACTATATGCATATATTTTCAGGAGGCTTGTGCAAATAATGAAGTGCTAATATTCGAATAAATAATACAATATGGAAATCACCTTCAATTCAAATCTAAATTATTCGAAATGAACGAATAGTCACATACAAGTCCACATGTAACCCCCAGAAAAGGTGGTTTTGCTGCAATAAACAGGCACTGAGCTGTGTAAACACTTATCCAGGAAAAGTCAGCACTGCCATGAAGTGAAGGTAGTGAGGGGTGAAAGCTTCACAGCAAGTGATAAGCTCTTGATATGTGGGATTTAACAACCCAAAACCATCATATCATTATGAGAACACCGTAGTGGAGGGCTTCAGAAATTTCGACCACCTGGGGTTCTTTAATGTGCACTCAAATCTGAGCACACAGGCCTACAGAATTTTCACCTCCATTGAAACTGCAGCCCTTACAGCCGGCATTCAATCTCACAATCTGCAGGTCAGCAGCCGTGTACCTTCGCCACTAGCGAGGGTGCAAGCGGGCTTCAGTCTTTTGGAGCAGCTGTGGGAGCAGGAATAACGCGGCTTCGGAGCAGCTTTGGAGCAGTAAAAAGGGAGTTTTGAAACAGCTCTGGAGAAACGAAAGATGTGTTTTAGAGCATCGAGATTTACTTTTGGAGCAGATTTCTCAAGTCAAGCATGACTGTTAATTAAAATTTTTGCTTTCTTGTAAACACAAACATTTCAGTGGTTTTTAGTAAGCATGCAATGCTGATTAAGTGACCCGACTTACGCAAAATTCATATATATTAAACCTCACAAGATCACAGATGAAAGCCCAGCAACTCAGAGAAATAACATAAGCGGCATTCTGGATAGCAACTAGACCTTAAACTAATAAAAAAAATTTAAGTTAAAATGTTGCAATGTTCAGAATGTGATTAAAGCACCGCAACCAACATGAACAGCAACTCAAGAATTGAGATGAGCTACGTATATATTAAAAGTTATCGTCATGCTAAACCCATACGGCTCTATAAAAATAAATGCAAAACATTTATGTTCCGTTCATTGAAATGCCACAGCCGACATGAGAACCACGAGGAAATTTATATGCGCTTGCCGTGCCATTGCTTGGCAATGAGGTGAAAAATTTTCATCATAGAAATTATGTGGACACTAGATGGGGCTTTCACTGTCGCAGCCATGTTCCACATAAACTACAAGGTCGCAGTAAAAACGGAGTTCTTTAAGTTTATTTTCCAGTTTATGTAGCAGAAAGCTCGCAGCATCGTTGCTGAGCACAGCATGTGCCCAATGGTTGCTCGGCAATGGTGCAGTCAAGTTTATTGCACATCTCTTCCCCTTCCCCGCACATCATACGTTTAACCCGCATGTAAAATTGTGCAAGCTAGGATGATGGGCGCTGCTCAAGCAAGGATTAAACGAGACGGCCGATCACCATGTACGCGTTGTGCACGTAAACTCATCCAAGGGTTCCAAGATTATCTAGATAGTCCCCAGTCATTAGGGCGCAGTTTGCGCAAGGGACAAATATAGAAAGAAAGGAGCATGTGCGGTATTACCATTACAATACTACAAATTGTTGCTATTGTTGTAATCGCTACGCCAGTGACACTGATTCTTTAAATTTATTTCTCAGTTTATGTGGCAAAAAGCTCGCAGCATCGTTGCGGAGCGGCTGCTGAGCACAGCATGCGCTCAATGGTTGCTCGGCAATGGTGAGGTCAAGTTTATTGCAACAGCACTGCAGTCTTTATAGTTTGCCTAACAGCTTTGCTGTTAAAACATGCATAGAGTCGCATAATGAGGTATGCACACAAACGTCACCTTAACAAGAATCATGCATTGTGTTCCGGTGGCACAAGATTAATGCATAATCCGAAATAAGACTTTTGATGTGGACACGGACTTTTATATGAATAAGGTCCTTTGTGTAGCCCACGCGTGTTGCACGGTTGATGATAAATGTCTCGACTAAATTTGGCGCTGTACGTTCAAATTGCAGTATGGGTGCAGCTTGACGCAGCAGGTCGGATTTGCGCAGCCTGGAGCAATTAGTGCAGCACATCCACACCTGCACTAGACCACCCTGGCGGGGCAGTGATAAGCTCTTGAAAAAGGGGTCAACGACGTAAAAGCTAAGTATAAGTCTCAGAAAAGTGTAGAGGGTTGGTACATCCAAAGAAAAACATTCCGCCACCATCTCTGGGCTGTGGCTCAAGGTTATATTTTAGAAGAGAACGGAAAGTCCGCTTTGTTTAAATTTTTGCCGGGGGCTCCCATGTTTCAACAGTGGTTTCATTGTAAAGAAAATTGTTTAAAAGATTCCACCCTTCTTTCTTTTTTTTTTTGGAATGTGCCTGCATATGTAGTATGCCGGACAGCATGTGAGAGAGAGAGAAAGAATGCTTATTATCCTCAATCTTTAATAGCGCAAATAGAAGACAGTATGCTTGGATTGATATTTAGTCCAGCTTTCATTGTACTAAATTCATAACTAATATACGATTAGTCCGATTTGCACTCTCTAGTACTGGAGAAACCATTTTGCAAGAGTAACCTAAATGGAATCAAGCCGGTGGTTTTCGAATTTTTCTATACTGAGACAGAAGTAAATCCAGACGTGAATAAACATGCGAACGATGCTTGTACCTTTTTTTTCCATTTTTTGTATCGTTCTTTATTTCTGAATGTTTCTTCTTTCTTTCCCCTGCCCCACCCTGTCTGTCTGTCTCTAATGATATTAGAGAGAGCCCCCTACTCTGGGGGCTATCATGATCAGTTAACATGGGGTAAACAAAAATTAGTAAGCAAGAGTAAGATGATTTGACTAATATGACTCGCTGGTCATGACATGATTAATATTATGATCTCGTCGTGAACATCGTGAAATCCTTTCCGCCAGACATGTGACACATACCAACACATGTGGCACATACTCACGGATGGGTAGGCCCCACAGGTATGCGGGTATGTGGAAACAGTGATTGGTATTTCATAGCTACCCTAAAACGGTGAGAACGATGCCGATGTGTTTTTTTTTTTTTTTTTTGTTCACGTTCAATTGTCCCTCTTCTCCCACACAGAGATCTGTCTGAGCTGTCAGAGTCTGAGTCTTCAAACGGCTTTCAAAAAGTGCCCGTTATTTTCTGCAGCACAGCGGTTTACGCGATTTAGCATGACCAGAAAGGCTGCTGGATCATCGATACACAATTGCTACCGGCACTTGGCCTCTTGGACCTGTTTTCATGCCCGTACTGCACCATCGGCTCGGTGAATGCAAGCTCTCTCACGTTTCTACTGTCGGCACTCTGTGATAGTTGTCTGTGGCCTATGCATGAGGAGGTTCTCCACAAGCACGCATGCTCTGCGCCACAGCAATGACTAGATACACGGCGTCAGTGAAAACACAGCCAATGGCACGCGTTGTTTACAATGCCGAGGGACAACGTAACTGATATCACAGCCAAGGGAGACACCTCTTCGCTCTGAGGAGAGAGGCGCTGTGATCGCCAGAGCTCATGGACACGTTTCGTATGAACGCTGCATTTTCACTTTGCTGCATCGCCACAAGTTCCCTTTTCTACGTCTGAAAAGTGATTCAGCGTTCCAAGACGACACCAGGCACCGTTGGAAATCACCACTTCACATCAGCAAGTCGTTTTGCTGCTGTGAACGCAACGCACCATGCCCGACTACGTTAGGCCGCCGTGCTTACCCTAACCCTGGCATCGTTGCGACAAGACGCCGCCTTTCTCTGTCAGCGTTCGCTTCCAGAGCACGTCTGAGACAGGGAAATGGAAGTTGTCGTAACAGGAACGCCAATAACTGATGAAGAACTTAATGACGGATCGTGGTCACATACTGCGTTGGCCATGCAACGCCAATATCGCCGTCCTGATCCCGAGCGCAGCTCAGACGCGGCTGACAATGTGACCACCGACAACCAACCCAGCAAGCAGACTCCTTGCCGTGCACGACCACCGCCCGCTCCAAAGCGACGCCCAATGCCCCGGTTACCACCGGAAGACTACAAAATAGTCCTGCGACCACAGGGTTCATTACACCTAGCCGATCTGGGACCAACCCGCCTCTCTGAAGCCTTATGCGCCACTGCCGGATTCGACTCCCCCGAAGTCCTTCACACCGACCAGATGCGCATTCACCCGACAAACAACACTATCACTGTCAGCACGCCTGATGTGAACCGTGCAATGGCTTACCTGAAGATTACTCAAGTGAAAATTGCCGACCAATCCTGTGCCATGGCTGCGTACGTCCCTGCTCCCGACAACTCGGTTAGAGGCATAATATTCAATGCGCACAGCTTCGAAAGTGATGACCAGATTTTCAATGAGCTTCGCGCCCGCAATCCAACTATCGACATCGTAAGCGCTCGGCGACGGGGAAAGACCATACATTTCGTCTTAACCATCGCTGGTCATACCATACCCAAGCATGTCCACTACCTTGCTTTCACACTCTTGATCTTTCCCTTAAGAGAACGGGTAGAGGCAGGCTACAATTGCTGAAAAATTGGTCATAGAACCGACGTGTCCGAAGACGAAACAAGATAACTGTCGTCGTTGTGGCGAAAACCACCCGCATCCTACCGACAGCAAAGAACTCACTTGCCCGGCGCAATGCGTCGTTTGTAGAGGCAGGCACCTAACCGGCAGTCGCAACTGTAAATACTGGTTCCTCAAAAAGAAGCTTCTAGGAAACGACAAGAGCACCGACAAAGCAACTCAGCACCTTTCCGACTACCAGACCGAGGGTACTACTGCCGACAATAAGAATTGTCAAGAATCTTTCCCGCCGCTTGGGGGAAGGAGCACCAGTGCTACCAGACCTGACAACGGGGCCCGCTCCCGATCCCCGTCAAGGACCCGGGATCACCACAACAGACTTCCGGC